GAGAAATATCAATAACCTCAGATATGCAGATGACACCACCCTTATGGCAGAAAGCGAAGAAGAACTAAAGAGCTTCTTGATGAAAGTGAAAGAGGAGAGTGAAAAAGTTGGCTTAAAACTCAACATTCAGAAAACTCAGATCATGGTATCCGGTCCCATCACTTCATGGCAAATAGATGGGGAGACAATGGAAACAGTGAGAAACTTTATTTTTTTGGGCTCCAAAATCACTGCAGATGGTGCCTGCAGTCATGAAATTAAAAGATGCTTGTTCCTTGGAAGAAAAGCTATGACCAACCTAGACAGCATTTTATTTTATTTTTTTCCACCCTAATCTCTTCAATTTTATTATAGGACACACTGGGGACAGAGGAGGGAAGTGGAGGAGGGGTGACAAGAAGGCAGCTGGGGCCTCCCCCACCACGCGCCTTTGAGCACAGTAGGGGGTCAGGCAGAGGCATCAGGAGAGGATGCAAGAAATGCAAGCGTCGCCTTCCATGGGACAAGGATCCTTCATCATGGCATTGGCCTTCTTAGCCCAGCATGAGGGGGAAGAGTCTGCTGGGTGGGAGGGCTGAATGTCTGCTGACACTGGGTGGCTACTGGGATGGGCTACTGCCACCCATGCCTGGAAGCACTGAGATATGTTTAGTGCCCTTCCTGCCTGTAAGCGGTGTGAAAGCACTGGCCCCCAGGAGGGACAGAAAGAACCCGGCCACGCCTGCTAGCTCATGCCTCATTTGCTCTAGAGAAGACAGGGGAACCCTACATTTTGGTTTGAAAGGCTTTCTTTTTCGCCTCGGTGAAAACAGGCAGGGGAGAGAGGTGGGAGGGACAAGACAAAACACTCCCAACATCAAGACACAAGTGAAAGTGAAGTTGCTCTGTCGTGTCTGACTCTTTGTGACCCCATAGACTGTAGCCTACCAGGCTCCTCCATCCATAGGATTTTCCAGGCAAGAGTACTGGAGTGGGTTGCCATTGCCTTCTCCAGATAGACAGCATTTTAAAAAGCAGAGACTTTTGCTGACAAAGGTCTGTCTAGTCAAAGCGGTGGTTTTTCCCTAGTCATGTGTGGTTGTGAGAGTTGAACTGTAAAGAAAGCTGAGTGCTGAAGAATTGATGCTTTTGAACTGTGGTATTAGAGAAGTATTAGAGAGTCCCTTGGACTGCAAGGAGATCAAACCAGTCCATCCTAAAGGAAAGGACTGATGCTGAATATTCATTGGAAGGACTGATGCTGAAGCTGAAGTTCCAATACTTTGGCCACCTGATGTGAAGAACTGATTCATTGGAAAAGACCCTGATGCTGGGAAAGATTGAAGGCAGGAGGAGAAGGGAACGACAGATGGTTGGATGGCATCACCGACTTGATCAACATGAGTTTGAGAGAGCTCTGGGAGTTGGTGATGGACAGGGAAGCCTGGTGTGCTGAAGTCCATGGGGTTGCAATGACACGACTGAGCAACTGACTGGAGGGATGGGACTGGATGCCATGGTCTTAGTTTTTTTAATGTTGAGTTTTAAGCCAGCTTTTTCACTCTCCTCTTTCACTTTCATCAAGAGGCTTTTTAGTTCTTCTTCGCTTTCTGTCATAAGGGTGGTGTCATCTTCATATCTGAGGTTATTGATATTTCTCCCTGCAGTCTTGATTCCAGCCTGTGTTTCATCCAGTCCAGCATGTTGCATGATGTACTCTACATAGAAGTTAAATAAGCAGGGTGACAATATACAGCCTTGACATACTCCTTTCCCAGTTTAGAACCAGTCCCTTGTTCCATGTCTGGTTCTAACTGTTGCTTCTTGACTTGCATACAGATTTCTCAGGAGGCAGGGGAGGTGGTCTGGGATTTCCATCTCTTAAAGAATTTTCCACAGTTTGTTGTAATCCCCACAGTCAAAGGCTTTAGCGTAGTCAATAAAGCAGAAGTAGATATTTTTCTGGAACTCTCTTGCTTTTTCTGTGATCCAGTGGATATTGGCAATTTGATCTCTGGTTCCTCTGCCTTTTCTAAATCCAGCTTGAACAACTGGAAGATTCTCGGTCCACATACTGTTGAAGCCTGGCTTGGAGAATTTTGAGCATTACTTTGCTAGCATGTGAGATGAGTGCAATTGTGTGGTAGTTTGAGCATTCTTTGGCATTGCCTTTCTTTGGGATTGGAATGAAAACTGACTTTTTCCAGTCCTGTGGCCACTGCTGAGTTTTCCAAATTTACTGGCAGCACTTTCATAGGGTCATCTTTCAGGATTTGAAATAGCTCAACTGGAATTCCAGCACTTCCACTAGCTTTCTTCATAGTGATGCTTCTTAAGGCCCACTTGACTTTCCCATTCCAGGATGTCTGGCTCTAGGTGAGTGATCATACCATTGTGGTTATCTGGGTCATTAAGATCTTTTTTGTATAGTTCTTCTGCATATTCTTGCCATCTCTTCTTAGTATCTTCTTCCTCTGTTAGATCCATACCATTTCTGTCCTTTATTGTGCCCATCTTTGCATGAAATGTTCCCTTGGTATCTGTAATTTTCTTGAAGAGATCTCTAGTCGTTCCCATTCTATTGTTTTCCTCTATTTCTTTGCACTGATCACTGAGGAAGGCTTTCTTATCTCTCCTTGATATTCTTTGGAACTCTGCATCAGATGGGTATGTCTTTCCTTTTCTCCTTTGCCTTTCACTTCTCTTCTTTCCTCAGCTATTTGTAAGGCCTCCTCAGACAACCATTTTGCCTTTTTGCATTTCTTTTTCTTGGAAATGGTTTTGATCACGGCCTCCTGTATGATGCTGTGAACCTCCCTCCGTAGTTCTTCAGGCACTCTGTCTATCAGATCTAATCCCTTGAGTCTCTCTATCACTTCTGCTGTATAATGGTAAGGGATTTGACCTTTTCATGTACCTGTTGACTATTTGTATGTTGCTTTGGGCTTCCCTGGTGGCTCAGAGGTTAAAGTGTCTGCCTGCAATGCGGGAGACCCAGGTTTGATCCCTGGGTTGGGAAGATGCCCTGGAGAAGGAAATGGCAACCCACTCCAGTATTCTTGCCTGGAGAATCCCATGGAGGGAGGAACCTGGTAGGCTACAGTCCATGGGGTTGCCAAGTCGGACACGACTGAGCGACTTCACTTGGAATAATGTTCATTCAGTTCCCCTTGCCCATTTTTAAATTGGCTTATATGAGTTTTTTGTTTGGGTTTTTGCCATTGAGTTGTAGGAGTTCCTAATATATTTTGGAAATTAACCTCTTATCAGATGGATGGTTTTCAAATATTTTCTCCCATTCCATAGGTTGACTTTTCATTTTGTTGATTTTTTTTTCTTTTGTCCGGAAACTTTTTAGTTTGAAGTAGTCCCTCTTGTTTATCTTTGCTTTGTTACTTATACTTCTCGTATATTCCAAAAAGCCATTGTCAACACCAGGGTTAAGGAGCTTGTTCCCTGTGTTTTCTTCTAGGAGTTTTGTGGTTTCGGGAGTTACATTTTAAGTCTTTAATCAAGTTTGAGTTAATTTGTGAGTGGTATGAGATAGGTGTGTAATTTCATTCTTGTTCTTGTGAATGTCTAGTTTTCCCAGTACCGTTTGTTGAAGAGACTGTCTCTTCTCCATTGGGTATTCTTGGCCCCCTTTTCAGATTAGTTGACTGCATACACAGGGGTTGATTTCTGACCTCTCAGTTCTGTTCTGTCGGTCTGTGCATCTGCTTTTATGCCAGTTGTTGTTTTTCGGTCATTAAGTCGTGTCCGAGTCTTTGCGACCTCGTGGACTGTAGCCGTCGAGGCTCCTCTGTCCTCCACTGTCTCCGGAGTTTGCTCAGATCATGTCCATTGAGTCGGTGATGCCGTCTAACCAACTCATCCTCTGCCTCCTTCTGCTTTACTGAACTTGTGTATTAGTTCTAACAGTTTTGGGGTCACGTCTTCACGGTTTTCTACATGTAAAATCATATCATCTGCAAACAGACAATGCACTTCTTCCTTTCCAAATTGGATGCCTTTCATTTCTTTTTCTTGCCTGATTGCTCTGGCTAGGACTTCCAGTACTGTGCTGAGCAGGAGTGGTGAGAGTGGGCCCCCTTGTGCCTGATCTTAGAGAAAAAGCCTTTACCTCTGTGTGTGATGGGACCTGTGGGCTTGTCACAAATGGCCTTCATTGTGTTAAGGTAGGCTCCTCTTCAGTTTGTTGAGAATTTCTATCATGAGAGGACATTGATTACTTTTTTAGAGCTATTAGCTTTTTTTTGTTTTTTTAAACAGAAATTTGATTTATTTTTGGCTGTGCTGGGTCTTTTTTGCTGTGTGGGCTTTTCTCTAGTTGCAGCAAGCGGGGGCTCCTCTCTAGTTGCAGTGCTTGGGTTTCTCATTGCCGTGGCTTCTCTGGTTGCGGAGCACGGGCTCTAGGGTGTGTGGGCTTCCGTAGTTGCTGCTCTCGGGCTCTAGAGCACAGGCTTTGCAGTCGTGGTGCACGGGCTTGGTTGCTCCATGGCATGTGGGGTCTTCCCAGATCAGGAATCAAACCCGTGTCTCCTGCATTGGCAGGTGGATTCTTTACCACTGAGCCACCAGGGAAGCCCCAGATGTTGACTTTTGTCAAATGCTTTTCTTACACCTATTGAGATGATCATATAATTTTTTTTATCTTTCATTCCACTAAGTGATTTATGACATTTATTGATTTACTTATGTTGACACATCCTTGCATCCTAGGGATAAATCCTACTTGATCATGAAGCATGATACATTAACATGCTGGTTTGCTGGTGTTTTGGTTGAGGATTTCTGTGTCTGTATTCAGTGGGGATCTTGGCCAGCAATTCTCTTCTCCTCTGTGTCTTTATTGACTTTGGTATCAGAGTGACACTGGCCTCATGAAATGAGTTTGGGACTGATCCCTCCTCTTCAGTTTTTTTGGAAGCGTTTGAGAATGATTGGCATTATTTCTTTATTTGGTGGAATTGACTGGTGAAGCCACCTGACCCTGGGGCTTTTCCGTGTTGGTGCTCAGAGGCCTGCCCTGAGCCACAGGTTTCAGCACCTGGACAAGAACTGACACTTGTGACCCCACCCAGGGCTAAGGTGCCAGGCTGCTCTCCACACCCCATCCTGCTCTGGGGAGACAGAAACAACTAGTGCCCCACGGCCCTCCCCCCCCCCCAATCCCCGGATTGCTGGCCTGCCCTCCTGCTCCTTGCCCGAGGGCCCCTGGGGGACACGGTAAAGAACTCGAGTGCAGATTGTCAATAGTCAAGCAGAAAGTGCACCTCAGGGTCCAGTCAGGCCCCTGATCCTGCAGCTTAGCTTCTGTGGTTTCGATGCCCTGCGTCCTGAGATGCCAGCCTCTGAGAACACGCCCACCTGGTTCTGACCCACAGGATGTGTTTTGCCTCCTCCCATATCCAGCCCCTCACGGGGGTCATGCTGACTTTGTCCTGGGTGGCCTGTGGTTTAAATCCCAGAGCTGCCTGACCAGCCCTCCACAGATCAGGAGGCCGGCCCTGTTGATAACTCTGCTCTGAGAGCCTCAGGCAATGCACACTAATGCCTTTAAAAAAATTGAATTCTGGGTGGATTAAAACAAAAACCAAAGTCTGAGAAGACTTTCTCCGTGCATGTGTTTTTTCCTCTCAAGAGTGGACGTGGATGAGGATGACCTGGATGAAGAACACGTAACGAAGGTGAGACACAGGGTCCTGGGTCCCAGGTGAGCCACCCGGGTCTGCAGATGAGGCAGCAGCTTCGTCTCCATGTCTCCAGCCCCCAAGTTTCCGGGTGCTTGCCGGGCAGGGCCCCCGGGAGATGCCTGTGCCCCAGGGCGTTGAAGGGCAGCCTCTGGACCAAGGGCCCAGGTCTCCTTAGGGGTGGTGGGAGGTGGAGGGGGGGTGAGTGCTCTGCCCCTGGTCTCCAGGGGGTGGTGGGCGGTGGCAGGTCCCTGTCCTTGGTCTGAGTGTGCATTTGCCTGGGGGCTGGGAGGCCTGTGTGGTTCTGACACTGCTCCGGCTTCCTGCACTGAAGACTTTTGGTTTTCTCTGTTGACATTAGGTATCCCCCCGTCTCCTTTCCCTCCCCTGGTTCTCAGAGGGGCGCACAGAGAGAGCTGAGCTCAGTCTCCTCCTGCTTTATCCCCACCCAGCCCCCAGCCACTGAGCCCTGGGACGTGTGTGTGGACCCTCACTCCCGCCCCCACACCTGTGACTCTCAGAGTCCTTCTGGTGTCTGAGTTACCACTGAGGGGACGCTCCCTCTCCTGACATGACCGGGGCCCCCAGCATGGCCAGAGCAGAAGCCGAGCGTGACCCACGGGTGGGGGGTGCCTGGGGTCTGCCGGGGGTGGGGGCTTGGGGGGTGGTCGCCTTCTTTAGGTCTGAGTCCTGGCCGCCCTCCCCATTCCCTTGGCCTCTTGGGCCCCGGCCCTCCTCCCTGTGCAGAGTGTTTGGGGTGACGGTCTCCCCCGACCCCCCCTCCCCCCGGCAGATTTACTACTGCAGCCGGACGCACTCCCAGCTGGCCCAGTTCGTGCACGAGGTGCAGAAGAGCCCCTTCGGCCAGGACACCCGGCTGGTCTCCCTGGGCTCTCGGCAGGTGAGAGCCTGGTGCTATCCCGCTGGTTTCCATCCCAAAAGGCCAGGACCACCGTGGGGCTGAGGCGGGGCGCAGGGCAGGACGGGCCGTGCTGGTCCCTGGAAGGAAGCGGGAGGGCGGGCAGGCCAGGGGGCTCTCTCCATGTCGCTCAGGCAGCCCCATTTCTCTTGCCCTCTCCTCGGTCTTACAGAACCTGTGTGTCAATGGGGATGTGAGGAAGCTGGGTTCGGTGCAGCTGATCAATGACCGCTGTGTGGAGATGCAGAGAAGCAAGCATGGTAGCCGCCAGCGGCCCAGGCCTCTGGGACCCTCGTGCGACCCAGGGGGGGTGCTGGGAATGGGGGGGCGGAGTGGCTCCAGGGACGTGGGAAACAGTGGGAGCGAGGGTAAGGTGGACCCGGCTTCCTTCCTAAAGAGCCTCACGTGGGGAAAAGGGGCCTGTCTGCTTTTTGGTCCAGATCTAGCCCAAAACCCTGGCTGAGAGATGGTTTTGTAGGCCTTTGCTAGAAAGACAGTAAGATGCCGGGATGTTTCAATGAGACCATAAGCAGCAGTTCTGGAAGGTCCCGCCCTGTGGGAACGGGTCTGGATGGTACAGAACCAGTCCTGGCCCCGGGGCAGCTGTGGCTCTCTGCCTTTGCCCCCGTGCCCCTCAGAGAAGAAAAGCATCACCGAGGAAGACGAGCCCAGGAAGAGGAGGCGGAGGCAGGAGCCAAGGGCCACCTGCCCCTTCTACAGCCACGAGCGGCTGCAGCTCCTCCGGGACGAGGTCCTGGCGGGGGTGAAGGACGTCGAGCAGTTAGTGGCCCTGGGCGAGGAGGCTCAGGCCTGTCCCTACTACGGGGGCCGGTTCGCCATTCCCGCAGCCCAGGTGAAGACTGGGGGTCGGGCGGTGGTGGTTTTGTGTGAGAGTGTATCGAGCCCACTCTGCAGATAAGGAAACGGAGGCTGAGAGGTTGACTTTCCCAGAGTTGCATGGCTCCAGGGCCAGAACCCGGGGCTGCCTTGGGGGCACAGAAGGGGCTCTGCAGCCAGGGTCCCAGCTCCCTCCCCACTTCCAGGGGCACAGAAGGGCCTCTGCGGCTGGGGTCCCAGCCCCCTCCCCACGTCTGCCAGTGGTCTAGCGGGCTCCAGTTTTATCGGTTTCCCGTTTGGTCCACACAGGCTTTCCGGGCAGGGCTTCATGCTCAGAGCACAGTGCGCTGCTCTGGCGTTCTCTCTGTGTCCCTGCACATGTTCTGGTCAGGAACTGGAACCAGTGCACACTGGGGCTGCAGGGTGGCTGGGCCAACCCCTCTGGGGGAGGAAAGGGGTCCCGCCCCCTCAGGCCCTCTCTCCCCCTCCAGCTGGTGGTGCTCCCCTATCAGATGCTGCTGCACGCGCCCACCCGCCAGGCGGCGGGGATCCGACTGCAGGGCCAGGTGGTGGTCATCGACGAGGCCCACAACCTCATCGACACCATCACCAGCATCCACAGCGTGGAGGTCAGAGGTTCCCAGGTGGGTGGGCCTCCGTCTTCCTGGACCAGGGCGTGTGCTGAGCTGAGGCTGGGACCCCCCCTGCCCCCGCCACAGCAGGATTTAGGACTGGGCCCAGCCTGGCAGCGGGCACTCTGCGTGGTCCTCCCCAGACTGTGACCTGAGGCCTCCAGGTCAGAGTGGCAGGGTGTGAGAAGCAGGAGTCCTCGCGTGGCTGGATGTTACTGTTGGCACTGCTGTGAGGGATGCTGGAGGTGGTTGAGAGTGCTGTTTGCTCATTGCTTGTTACGTGCCCTGTACCACGTTGCGGGGAGACCCCTGACTCTGCATCAGGCTAATCCTATTGATGCTGAGAGCTCAGAGCCCAAAGGAGGTTACGCGCTGTCTCAGGGCTCCTGCGGTGGCTCAGACGGTAAAGAATCCGCCTGCAACATGGGAGACCTGGATTTGATCCGTGGATTGGAAAGATCCCCTAGAGAAGGGAATATGTAGGTACCCACTCCAGTATTCGTGCCTGGAGAATCCATATGGACAGAGGAGTGTGGCGGGCTACAGTCTATAGGGTCACAAAGAGTCAGACACGACTGAGCAACTTTCAGGTTAGTGGATTTGACCACTGGCTTCTGATCCTTAAGCCCACATGATGCTCCCCTCGACAGACCTGGGCCAGGGTGTGAGGGTCGCCTTGAACCGTTTCTCTCAGCAGATGGCGTGTTCCTCCTGTCCCAGGAGACACTAGCAGAGATGTTTTTTACGCACGAGCATCACTGTCTGGCCTTTTCGTTGACCCTCACTGGACGCCCAGCAGCAGTCTGCCTCCCCCCGTCTCTTGGCCCCACCAGCTGAAGGGCCTTGAAAACCCACACCTTGGTCTGCCCCAGCTCCCCCTGCATTTTGACTGCCCCCGAGTGTCCTGGGCTGGCACAGTCAGGCGTCCAGGGGTCACTGGCACCACGCAGGGGGGCTCGCCCAGGCCTGCTCTGCCCTCTCACCCGTGCTGTTTTCTCCCCCAGCTCTGCCAGGCCCACAACCAGCTGCTCCAGTACACGGAACGATATGGGTGAGACGCTGCCTCCTGGGGGGGTGGGAAGGCCCCGCTCAGCCTTGGTGCCCCAAAGCCCACCTGTGAGAGGAGGCATCGCGGGGTGTCTCTGGCCTGGGCTCAGAGCGGTGGGCTGGCATGCCCTTCACCTCCTGATTCATCGGGCTTACATCCCACTAGGCCGTGGAGGCCTTGGGCCCCGGCCAGCCTGTCTTCTGGGAGAGCTGGTTGCAGCCCATGCGCCAGTTGGGAAGGCGGCAGGCGGGAAGGCCTCAGCTCGGACCAGGAGGGGAGTTGGGGTCCCTCCCACTGACGTGCTCGGGCTTCCCCCCCCTCCCAGGAAGCGCCTGAAGGCCAAGAACCTGATGTACATCAAGCAGCTCCTGTACCTGCTGGAGAAGTTCGTGGCTGTGCTGGGCGGTGAGGAGCCTCCCCACCCCCCTGAGCCTGCCGCAGCCTGGTCCCCAGATGCCAGTCAGCACCCCTGGGGTTCCGGTCACAGGCATCGTCTCAGCCATTGATTTAGGAATCCTCATCTGTCCCTGCTTAGATCTTTCTTAGAACTTGCATGTGTATGCGTCTGTCCTGAGTCCTTTTTACTTGGCCAGGCCCTCTCCTCGGGTGGCAGCACCCTTCACATGTTGTGCTATAAACGTGTATGACCCTGACGGTGCTGGGACTTGGGGCTTGGTGGTCCCGCGAGGAGGGCAGCATAGGCGTGCTCACCCTCTGGGCAGTAACTGAAGCCCAGCGTGGCCAGCCGCTGGTTCGGGAGCCCCGTGAGAGGGACTGGAGTCCCTGGCTCCGGGCCCCACACACCTTTGTCTTACTCTGCACCAGCGTCCCTTTACTGAGTCGCTTCACCCATAGAAGCTGAAGTGCAGAAGGGCGGGGGAGCTTCCAGGGGATCTCTCAGGTTGGCACTCTTCGCTTGGTTTCTGCCCTGCAACCTGGGAGTCTCCTGCTCACGCCTGTAGGAATGGGGTGGGGGGGTCCCTGTCCTTGCCTTGCAAAGGGTGACATCGCCAGGCGCGGGCTGCACATGCAACACTTCCGGGCCCCTGGGACATCCTGCCCCCCTCCCATGGGTCCTTCGGGTGCTGTAAGGGGCAGAAGACCCCTTCAGACAGGAACATTCTTGCTCGATAACTACAGGGTAGAGGGAGAAGACGGCGCCGGGCCCACTGTCCTGACCCGTTTGACTCTCTTTTTTTAGGGAACATTAAGCAAAATCCCAACATGCAGAGCCTCTCGCAGGCAGGTAAGAGCGGGCAGCAGCTGTTGCTGAGCTTCCCTCCGGGATGCAGGCCGTGGTCCCCGGAGGGGACGTCAGGCCCGCATGTTTGTTCTCAGGGACAGAGCTGAAGACCATCAACGACTTCCTCTTCCAGAGCGAGATCGACAACATCAACCTGTTCAAGGTAGGTCGTCACCTTCGGGGGTGGGCACCCCCAGGCTTCTTTTTTGCTCCTCACCCATGGGCAGGACTCTGCATGAAGACTGTGGAAGGAATCAAAAGTGAGTTCCTTTCGTCCTTGAGCAGCTCAGAGGCCTGAGGGTCTATGGGATAACTTAACCCTTGCACACAGTTCGTGTCAGAGGAGAGGGATCGTCAGCTTGGGGTGAAGGGTCACTATGATGACAGCCGTGCTTTTCTCTGTGTGTGATAAGCTGGTGCTTCCAGGTCCCCCCTTTCTCCTCTCTGCAGTGATGGGGGCAGTGGCAGAGGAGAGGCCCCAGGCTAGAGGCTGACGTGGCCACGGGAGGCTTCGGGCACCGGGGGGTGGCGGTGGGCCTGCTCCCAAGTGTATGGAAGGTCTTTCTCCAGCTGTAGCCATTTTCACGGCGCCTCTGGCCGGGTGTGTTTTTGTAGGTGCGGCGCTACTGTGAGAAGAGCAAGATCAGCAGAAAGGTACCCAACCCTCTGCTCAGCCCGAGGCTGCCCCATGTGCCCCTCACTCCTGCCCTGCAGAAGCGCCAGGGCACCTGTCCCTGTGTTCACTGGGGGCAGCTCGTGGGCGGGCAGGGAGGCCCGTCGTCTCCCCTCACAGCCGCTGCTCTCATCCCATCCCAGCTCCTTGGCTTCACAGAGAGGTACGGGGCAGTCCTGTTGCCCTCTGTGGAGCAGCCCAAACTGTCCGGCTTCCAGGACTTCCTGCAGAGCCTGCGGCCCGGGGCGACAGCCGGTGAGTGGGGACGGGGAGCCTGGGCTGCGGCCTTCCTCGCGTGCGCAGTCTCTGTCTGGAGTCGCTGACCCTCTTCCTCTGCTCTGTGCAGCCCCTGCCGCCCCTGCGGAGGCCGGGGAGGACCGGTCACCGCGGCCTACTTCCCCACTGATGCACGTCGAAGGCTTCCTCGAGGCTCTCACCACCGCCAACCAGGACGGCCGGGTCATCCTGAGCCGCCAAGGTAACTGGGAGGAGCCAGTTCACCTCCAGTTGGTGTTCATACCTTGCTGGGTTAGGACATGGAAACGGCTGCCTGTGACCATGCCGGTGGTCGAGGGGGCGAGGAGGAGGACGCGGAGGTGCTGGGCTGCTGGCCGGCCTCGGTGAGGTTACCTGAGAAGCCGCTTGGCCCGGTGTAAAGGTCAGGGGGGCTGCGTTGGAGTCGTGGCCCTGTCACCTGCAGGCTGCGTAACTGGGACCAGTTTCTCCCCAAAGCTCAGTCCCTCGTGTGGCAAGGGAGATGACTGTGCGTCTCCCTGGGGTCGTCCTGGGGATGAAGTGGGTCTCATTTAAAAAGAAAGCGGCATCTCTGTGACTCCTGCGTGGATCCGACTGGACACCGTCTTTGTCTCAGACAGATGGAGGTTTTGGTTGGCTTGCACCTGCCCGCCCTTCTCCACGTGGCTGTCTTTTTTTCTTTTGTCTTCAGGCAGCCTCAGCCAGAGCAGCCTCAAATTCCTGCTCCTGAACCCAGCTGTGCACTTCGCCCAGGTGGTGAAGGAATGCCGAGCGGTGGTCATTGCGGGGGGCACCATGCAGCCGGTAAGGACGCGGCCCAGCCTCGCGCCTGGGTATTGGGAGGGGGAGGATCCCTGGCCCATGGGGCCGGGGCTGGAAGGGTGGGAGGGTGGGGTGGGGGTGCAGCTTGAGTCGGCCAAGTGGTGTCCACCAGGTGGCATTGCTATTCTGTCTCTGGGCCAGTTTCTGGGGTCAGGCAGACCCAGATGTTTCTGCAGCCTCTTCTCCAGAGAAAGCCATCCTGCAGTTTCAGACCCAGAATGCAGTGCCTTTCCCTTGCTGTACCCACCCTAGATACAACCATCTCTCTCTCTCTCTTTTATAGACTTAAGTTTTAATATACACATTTTAGGGGAGTCTAATAGGAAATCAAAAATAGATTGTAATTCCACCAGGAAAAAACTGATTTTGGTGTATATCATTATTACAGAATTTGTGTAGTTACTTGTTACAGATAATACAGACACGTTTTGAAAACAAAAATGGTGTCTCCACACGCTGCTCTTGTCATTGCTTTTCTTACTCAGCAGCAAAACGTCTTAAACGTTTTTCCTTCTCAGCAAATTGGCATTTATCCTGCCCAACTCTGGCTGCCCTTTATTCCGTTACATAACTGTGTTATTATATATGATCGCTCTTCAGTGGACAGACTTAGGACATAGTTTTCAGAAGTTATGAATCCACAGTGATGTTTCTGTATCAAAACCAGTCATTTTACTTGACTTTACACGGTGCCTGTTAAGCTGCAGTTTGGTTTCTTACAGCACATTAACATAATTCTTTGCCTTGTCCCACAATATACTTAGAACAGTTATAAAATTACACCAACCTTCAAACAGTAAATTGTGGATTAAACTCGTTTATCTGCGTTTATTCTTTGCCCTTGAAGTGCCCCACCAAGGAGGTGTGGTCACTAGGCGTGGACAGTCACTTGAGAGCCAGCTCTTCTCTGTGCGGTTGTGTTCTGAGTTTGGTAGGTAGCCAGGCTTTCTTGGTTTCGGTTTGTTTTCAGTTTCACAGTTTGCCTTTTTACTTTCTTATGTTCTAAGAGATGTCCACATCTGCGTGGTTCCGAAGTCAGAACTGTAACAACGCATATTCAGTCTCCCTACTGTTCCTCTCCAAACTTGCGTTCCCTGTTCCCATAAGTAATCCTTTAATTAGCTCCTGGTCTGTCTCTCCAGTGTTTCACTGTGTGTGCGTGGCTATCACTCCTCAGCCTTTTGACCAAGATGATTTATATCACGGGGCCTTCCCTGGTGGCTCACTGGTAGAGAACCTGCCTGCCAATGCAGGAGATGCAAGAGACACAGGTTCGATCCCTGGTTCGGGAAGACCCCCTGGGGGAGGGCATGGCAACCCACTCCAGTATTCTTACCTGAAGTATCCCATGGACAGAGGAGCCTGGCGGGCTACAGTCCATAGGGTCATAAAGAGTTGGGCACAACTGAGCAGCTTAGCACACTGCAACAACTATATATATAAAATATATAAACTAAATATATATATATGTAAGTTTTGTTTTTTTGTAAAAATGAGCAGATATTTTCCCCTGTCCGTCCTTATTGCCTCAGAGGGAGCACTTCCCCGCCCACCCCAGCACGCCCGCCTTCGTGCCCGGGCTGGTCTGCACCCCTCCTGGGGCTGCATGTTCTCTGCTGAGTGGAGCCTGGGTCGCTCCTTCAGCCAGACTCTCTCTCGAAGTGCAGATTATTACAAACAACCTCATGGGAACTATCCCAGTGCATATGTTTGGTTTGTGGAGCTGTGCTTCATAGGAGATGCCCAGATATGGGATTATGGGTTAAAAAGTAAAAATTGTCTGACTTGTTAAGTGCTGTCAAATTCCCCTCACCAGGAGTTGTTCTGCTCTGTATCCCACTAGCAGCCTACAAGAATACCTGTTTCTCCAAAGAGTACTCAAATTCGGGGATTTTTGCCAGTTTGATAGGTGAAAAAACCTGGAGCTCTTTAAAAAATACAAATGTGTACACCTTCTCACTACAGATTCTTACTCAGTAGTTTGGGCTGGGCTTGACCGTGTATATATATTTTTTCCAAATGGTGATTCTGTTGCACTGCCAGGGCTGAGACCCACTGTGCCAGGTTGCTGGATTTCCCCTGCTGTTTCCTCAGGTGGTTGGAATGCGGCTGCCAACACCGGGTATCATTGGTTTTGTCTTCTTTCAGCGAATCTGTTCCCAGGCTTTCCCTGGACCTCTCCCCCCTGGTCTCACGCACTTGCCCCTCCCGGCCCAGCCCTCTGGGAGGTGACGGTGTTGGCCTTCTGGTCTGCAGGTGTCCGACTTCCGGGAGCAGCTGCTGGCTGGTGCCGGGGTGGAAGCGGAGCGCGTGGTGGAGTTCTCCTGTGGTGAGGACCCAGGCCGGTGGCGGGGGCCCTTGTCACAGTCCAGCTGTGTGCTGTGATCGGCCAGGGGCTGAAGCCATGGTGGAGAGGGGGTAAGGGAGTAGCTTCTGGCTCTGAGTCCCTCCGTCTGCACGCAGAGAGAGGCCTGAGCGTCCCAAGTTGGTTCTCCGTGGGAGTCAGGTGGAGGGTGGGTGCTGTAAGTTGCTGGTCCGGGTCTGGGAGACAGGGCTGGGTGGGGGGCCGGGGGGACGTTCTCCATGGACTCAGCCTCACTGGGTCTTGCCCAGGTCACGTGATCCCTCCAGATCACATCCTGCCCCTCATCATCTGCAGCGGGCCTTCCAACCAGACGCTGGACTTCACGTATCAGAAGAGGGGGCTGCCTCAGATGGTCAGTTCAGTCAGCCTGCCCGCTTGTGGCCTTCGTGGGGGTGGGAGATGGATTAAGGGCTGGGGCGCTCTGGCCAGTCCCGGGTGTTTAGGCTCCGGGTCTCCCATCTCGGCTGGCACAGGCTGAGCGGTGTCTGCGTGGACGTCCACCAGGGGGGGTCTGAGCCGCCCCACCCTCACCCTTTAGCAGGGTGTACGAGCAGGCTGCCCACTACCTTGGTTCTCTTGCCGTGTGGCTCTGTGGGTGCCACCTGGGCAGGCATGGGAGTGCTGGGCACAGCTCTAGGGGCCTGTCTGCGGTTTTCTGTGCCCGATTTGTCACAAGCATCAGCTGGGCCTGTGGTAGGGAGGGTGGATGACCCACTCAGGTGGCGCCACCTGGCCGCACCCCACAGCCCTGATCGCAGCCACCTGTGGTCTTTGGGCTTTGAGCCTTCCGGGAGGGGCTGCAGGATTGGCTTTCGTCTCCCCTCGCTAGATGGACGAGACGGGCCGCATTCTCTGTAACCTGTGCAACGTGGTGCCGGGAGGGGTGGTCTGCTTCTTCCCCTCCTACGAGTACCAACACCAGGTCTGCACCCACTGGGAGAAGAGTGGCCTGCTGGCCCGCCTGACCATCAGGAAAAAGGTGAGTGGTCGGCACTCAGCTGGACGTCCCACGAGAGGACGGTGGCACCCGGAGTTCCTCCCGGGGTTTCTCCTGTGTGGGGGCTTCCTCCACTGTCTCATGCCTACTTCCAGTCCTGATGCCAGCCGGTGGGGGTCTCTTCAGGACCCCGGCTCCGTGGGCTTTTCCAGTCCCTATTCTGAAAAACTTTAGGGCCAAGAGTGACTCAACACCCAGGCGATCTGTGACCCTTTTCTGGGAGCTGTTCTCTGTTTACCTTCAGATATTTCAGGAGCCCAGGAGAGCAAATAAGGTGGAGCAGGTGCTGCTGCAGTATTCCAGGTGCATCCAGGTGAGGCTGCGGGTCCCCGGAGCCCCTGAAGGGGGCGCCCACACTCTGGCGCTGCAGCTCTGGGCTGGTGTTCCCGCAGCACTGCGGCCAGGGCCAGGCCCGGGGCACGGAGACGGGCGCCCTGCTGCTCTCCGTGGTCGGGGGAAAGATGAGTGAAGGCATCAACTTCTCTGACGACCTTGGGCGGTAAGCAGTGACTTCTCACCCCTTGGGCTCTGACTTTGCACCTGGGTGGACGGCTCAGGTCCACACCCTCGAGGGGCCTGGACTCACCAACTCTGGATTGGGCCCTCTGGGGCCAGCTGGAAAACCAGGCTGCCCCTCCTGGATCAGGACTCGGTTCCTTGGTCTAGACTGGACGTCTGGGCTGATGAGAGAACTTGCTCCAGGTGGCAGGGATGAGGGGAAGGAGAGGCTGAAGGAAGCTGGTGGCGGTGGGTGGGGACGGGCCCCTCGTCCTGGGCCTTGGGAACCACCCACGTGCCCCGGGTCACGTGTGACTCCGTCCTAGATGTGTGGTCATGGTGGGCATGCCTTACCCCAACATCATGTCTCCAGAGCTGCAGGAGAAGATGGCTTACCTGGACCAGACGCTTGTGAGTACCCCCGTGCCTCCCCCAGCTGCAGCTACCCCTCGATATGTGTGCCTGTTTGCCCCAAAGGGATGGACATGCCTCCATACTCCTGGGTGTTTTCGCACCATCAGCTGTTGTATCGGCTGCTGGTGCCCGCAAGGCCCACTGGTCTTGCCCCCAAGCCTTGGTCGCTGTCACAGAGAACCCCTCGCAGGAGGCAGGCATCAACCCTGATGGGTCCTCTCTGCCCTTTGCAGCCCAGAGCCCCAGGCCAGGCCCGCCCCGGGAAGGTGCTGGTGGAGAACCTGTGCATGAAGGCTGTCAACCAGTCCATAGGTAAGCCTGGGGCGGTGCTGCTGGCGGGAGGGGAGGCTGTGGGCTGAGGTGACAGGAAGGAGCAGTTTCACCTGCCGTCTCTCCAGCCTGAGCGCTGAGGAACAGGAGGGGCATAGTAGGAAGACCCGTCCCCATTCTGTCCAGGCAGGGCCATCAGGCACCAGAAGGACTTTGCCAGCATAGTGCTCCTGGACCAACGGTACGCCTCCCCGGCCATCCAGGCCAAGCTGCCGGCCTGGATCCGGGACCGCGTGGAGGTCAAAGCCACCTTTGGCCCTGCCTTTGCTGCTCTGCGGAAGGTCAGTCCTGCCCTTCTGGCTCCCTGAGACTGTCCCGCCCCTGCCCCAGTCTGGTGTCATGGTCTTTCCCTCTCTGCAGTTCCATCGAGAGAAAGCTGGCCTTTCCTGACTGGTGGTCGCACCAGGGTCGCCAGGGCCTCCCTTCACCTGTCCACGGGCAACATCATCATGAGGTTGGTCTGCAGGGATCCTGCCTGAGAAGGGGGTGCCGTGGGAGCCCCTTCAGGACTCACTGGGCTGCCAGGATTCAGGAAGAGGTGGACCAGCCAGCAGGAGACAACGAGGCTGACCCCAAAGAAACAGTGACCCCGCCATTCCTGGCCCGACCCCCGGGCAACTGCCTTGCTTGGAACGGAGTCTGTCTCTGCTCGGCCCAGCCCTGTGTCCAGCTCTCCGCTGATTCCTGGCTGGTCTGTGAGTGGCTGTGGAGGCTGCAACCACCCTGCCCTGGCCTGTTTCTCAGAATCCATTCTCAGAGGTGAGATGGAGCAGGCTCTTCCAGCCTCTCCCTTTCTCACTGAAATAGCTGTTCCAGACCTTTCACCCTCGGAAACTCAAGAATGTTACCCATCCCCACCCCCTGGTATCCACAGGGCTGTTCTGCCCCAGCTTCGGGTCCTCTCGGCCACCTTTTCTCTAAGTCTTTAAGAACTGCTCCCCAACCTCCCAGCCTCACTTCCTCCTACACTGTAGCCCTCACCTGCCCCCGGGGCCCTGCCAGCAGGATCATCCTCCTGGCCTGGCTCCAGGGCCTCCTGCTCAGCCTCAGAGCAGACGCCAAGACACCGCCTCCCCTGACATCAGCGATTATGCCGAGGGCCATTAGGCTCTCAGCGCGGCTATTTTTAGAGACCCCGTGTCTATCACGGAGACACTTTCCTGTGTGGAAACAGCCCTCCCTCCCTGCACCGCCCCCCCCCCCAACCTAAGCCCCAGCTCCAAGGGCCGTCTGCACAGCTAAGGTTCCTTAATTAAAAGTGCACTGTTGGTTTAGGCTTGCATCACTTCTTTATTGATTCATGTACTGTTTTACTGCAGTCTAAGGAAGAGGAGCACAGGCAGAGGGCAGCCCCACCCCCACGCCTCCCCTGCAATTTGGCCTCCGAAAGCAGCCTCCTTGCTCCTTGAAGATCCTGGCAAGAGAGCTGGAGAGTCCTCCATGACCCTGTCCCCCCAAGGAGCCTGTCTGGCTGTTTTGCATGGGGGCGTGGTGCAGTCAGGGACTTGGGGGGCGATGAGCTGAGCCCTAGGACTCCCAGTCATCCTCGTCCTCTTCGCCCGGGGGCTGTTGTGGGGGAGGCAGGGGCGGGATGGAGTCTGACATCCGGGCGAAGGCTCCCCCTGGCCCCTCGCTGGCCCCAGACCCAGGTCCTTTCCCGGAGATACCTGGGAGGGCAGATGCCGGAGTGAGGAGCTGGTCTGGCCACCAGGCCAGCCAGGCCCTACAGACCTGAAAACCGCGAGGAAGGAGGCGGCACCAGGGTCCTGCTTCCTACCTTTGCGCCTCATGGCCAGCTTGTTGAAAAGGTCTGACATCAGGTCCCCGCCCTGGCTGGTGGCTCTCACTGCAGTGGGAGAGCATGGGGACAAGGTGAAGGGACCCGGGGTGGGCTCAGTCCAGCCCATGTGACACCCCAGGGCTCAATCATGGGGTCCTCTGCACTGTCAACACTCTGGCCCCTCCACAGCCACCAGGCCACCACAGCCCCTGGAGCACTGTTCAGTGTTACTAGGAAAGCAGGTGACCTCTGAGTAACGGAGTCACTGACATCCTGAGACAGGCACGGAGGAGCGGAGTCGCCTCCGTCCTGAGCCGGGCTCAGGGAGCAGCACTGGGCAGAGGAGGAGCCTGCCCAGGGTCCCCGTGCACCGTTCAGAAGCACAGCTGGGATGACTCAGGGCTGGGATCCCAGGGAGCACGGCTGCTTTGGGCCCAGACGTGGCATCTGTCAGCACTGGACGCACTACTGACGTAGCCCGGAGCCTCAAGGGGCCTCGAGAAGTGGGCTGCAGCTAGGTCCCCGTCTCTAAAAATATCTCTAGTCCCCAACTGTTTCCTTGGACCATTGGCCGAGTCTAAGCAGGCTCCAGCTCCGGGCAGGAGGGCCCACACAGCCCCTGGAGACGCGGGCAGAGCGCCCTGCAGCAGGTCCGGCCTCACCTTGCTCCTGCTCTTTCTGCTTCTTTTTCTCCAGCTTGCGCTCCTTGACACTGCGGAGCTTGGCCTTGCCGATGCCCCCGGCCTGGCGGATGGACTCCAGCAGAGTGGCCCGGCCGCTGGAGGGGTCAACCACTTCCTTGGGCGCTCCTTGGACTGGGGCTAGAGGGTGGAAGGTGCAAGGAAGAAAGGCTGCGGGGGCCAAGCCGGACCCCACCGCCCAGGGTGGGTACCGAGGTAGCCTGGGAAACACATCACTGAAGGGCCACGCGGGGGCTCTGGCTGTATTTTCCATGGTTACTAGTAGCCCCCTCTGTCGCTGGTTCAAGGGGAATGGGGGGTCCAGGCTCCCTCTACCCTGAAGGTTAGAATTTCAGGGCCCCAAAGATATGGTTTGAAACCACTACTTTATGAACTCGGGAGAATGTAATTTTGAAATCAGAATTTCTGAAAATCTAGAATTGATGACCACTTAACTAAGCTACCAAAAACCCTTCAGGGATCCAGAAGTTGGAGGCGCCCCTCTCCCACCCACACGCCCTGGGACTGCCCCTACCTGAAGGGGACGCGCCCCCACTGTTGTCCCCACTGGCGGGCTGTCCTGGCGGGGCCATGGGTGGGGGCGGAGGTGGGGGGGCGCTGACCAGCACGGCCGGAGCTGGGGGAGGCGGTGGGGGTGGCGGGGGCGGTGGGTGTGCCGTCAGCACCCCATCCTCGAGGTCTGGGACAGAAGGCAAGGTGTCAGGTGCCTTAGGAGGCAAGAGGCTGAGCAGGGGAGTGCCCACCCCAGTCTGCCCCCAGCTCTCGGCCCACCTGGCTTGAAAGGCTGGGCCACCTCCGTGTGGAAGGCGGGCAGCTCAGGAATGGCGCCGGGCGCAGAGGGGGCAATGCCTGGGCCCAGGTCCGCGCTGTACATAAGGTCGTCGGCCACGCCGGGCAGGTCAGGCAAGTAGGATGGCACGTCGATGTCTGGCACCTGGCCCAGGTCAGGCACGTAGAAGTAGTTCTCCGGGACCTGTGGGTTGGGAGGGTGAGGGGGGCCAGGGAACAGGCCTTGGAGTTTCCCAGGCCCCCAAGCACAGCTGGGCGTGTAGGGGGCTCATCAGACCCCTGGTCCAGACAACATTGGGGGGGCCACGCCCCCCCACCCCCAGGCACCGTCTCCATCCACCTGTTGTTCCAGCTGCTCCCTCCTGCTGATGGACAAAGGGGCATCAAACAGCTTCTCCTCCGTCTCGGCCCCCAGCATCACGTGGGTCTTTGTGACGGCACCAGCCAGAGGGTCCAGGAAGACATACTTCTTGTACCTGGAGAAGGTGGAGGTCAGGGCATGCAGCACCTGTGCTCGGCCCTTGGGCTGGACCACCCTTCCCACATCATTAGGGCCACGGCTCAAGTTAGGATTACAGCCTCCCAGGCCTTATGAGGCAAAACCAACTGGTCAGGAGCCTCCTGGCTCCCAGGCCATAGACTTCTGCTGCACCCGAGCCAGGAGCCCCCTGGCCCCCCACCCCCTTCACTCACAGGTTCTCAGTGGTGTTGAAGAGCAGCAGGGAGCTAACGGAACTGATGTTGCTGGGGAGCCCGCCCAGCCCCTCCTCAGCCTCGTCCTCAGGCTCCGGCTTGGTGTTCACACACACGGGGAAGAATTTCAGCTTCTCCTGGGGGCGTGGGGAGATGGGAATTGACTGAGGGAGGCGGGTTTTGGCTCCAGGCCAAAGCGATCCCCCGACTCCTCCAGCAGTCAGAATCCTCTGGGGCCTTGGCTCCCCCAGGGTGCGGGGCACTGCCGCAGACCTGCAGGGCGCGCTCGTCCAGGGGGCGGTGCTTGCTCTGGATCCTGTGGCGGGGGCGCCTCTGCAGGCCGGGGTCCTGGGCCCCGGTGAAGATGGAGCCGTACTCCCGCAGACGCTCGGGGGCAGGGTACTTGGCGCTGGAGAACACCTGTGGACACGGCGTCTGGTCAGTCCTGCTGGGCCTGAGACGCTCCGGAGCCTGGGTTGGGGTGGGGGGACTGTGGGCAGGAAGAGACCTGAGGGGTAGCTGGAGCAGGCACCCGGCAGCTTCGGAGGCATGGGGAGAGGAGGAAGAAGAGGACTTTGGGGACCACCGACCAGCCAGAGGACAGGGCCACACGCCTGCTACCTTGATGGCTTTCTTGCTGCCCTTGATCTTCTCGATCTTGGCCTGGGCCAAGGATACCCTCTCCCCGATGGCCTGCAGCTGACTCCGGCTGAGCTCTACTCGCTGGGAGATCCTGCCACCAAAAAAAAAAAACAAAACAAAAACTAATCACCAGGGCTGGAGGCTCCTCCCCAGGCCCCTGCAGCCTCTGGTCCCACTCGTTTCTACTGGCAAACAGGCAAACGGGGACTCGGGTAAGGGCTTGTGCCTGAAGTTTTTGTTTTGGCCACACCCCACAACATGCGGGATCTTAGTCCCTGACCAGGGATTGAACCCATGCCCCTGCAGTGCAAACACAGAGTCTTAACCCCTGGACAGCCAGGGAAGCCCTCGGGTAAGGGCTCTTAAAACAGCAATACCTGCTTGTCAGGGCTGATCCTGGAACTGCCCAGGTGACCTCGATCAGGACTATCCAACCTGAAGGGTCTGGGAATGGACTGTGTTCCGTTCCCTGGAGCTCCGGGCAGGGACAGGCAGTCACCCTGGCACCCAGCTGGCACCTGTACGTGCCACCTGAAAGGATGCAGTGCCCACCCACCAGGGCTTTCCTTCTCAGGCCCAGGTGAGCAGAGACAGAATCTTCATGACTTACATGGAGGAAACCAGAGCTTAGAGATTCCAGATCCTGATTCCAGTCCCAGAGCTGACCACAAGGAACCGCCTGACTCAGGGCAGGCAGCTCTGGGTAAACCCTAGTCCCCACTGAGGTTCTCACAGTTGTGGGTGGTCTGCCAAGGGGCTGCCCCACCCCTTCCCAGGATTAGCAGGTTCCAGCAACAGGGTACCCTGTTAGTTCCTGAATATGCCCAATGCTGCCTTGTCATACGGCCCAGCCGTCTCCCCACACGGCTGGTCCTTCATTTCATTGAGTCCCATGCCAAGGCCTGCCTGAGACAGAGTTTAAAACTCACTGTCACTTTCCAACCCTTAGCCGGGTCTATTGGTACACACTGCCACCTGTCACCATCACAGAGAAATCATTTGGTCAACAAAGGTCTACAGAGTCAAAGCTATGGTTTTTCCAGGAGTCATGCAGGGATGTGAGAGCTGGACCATAACGGCTGAGCGCTGAAGAAATAATGCTTTCGAACTGTGGTGCTGGAGAAGACCTTTGAGAGTCCCTTGGACTAAGGAGATTAAACTAGTCAATCCTAAAAGAAGTCAACACTGAACTGACATGAAGAGCCAACACATTGGCAAAGACCCTGTTGCTGGGAAAGATTGAGGGCAAGAGAAGGGAGTGACAGAGGATGAGATGGTTGGATGGCATCAGTGACTCCATGGACGTGAATTTGAGCAAACTCAGGGAGATAGTGAAGGACAGGGAAGCCTGGCATACTGCAGTTCATGAGGTCGCAAAGAGTTGGATATGACTTAGCAACTGAACAAGAACCACCTGTCACCGTGTCTCCTGGGCTTGGGGCTCTGTTCTTTGCTGTGTTCCCAGCACCTGGCACTAAGCCGGGCACCTGAAGGGCTAACACCTCATGCCCCAAGGTAAATGCACATGCGCCTCACTCTCACTATTCAGCAGCACAAGGTTCTTCTCACTTCCCAAGAGCCCCAGCCCACCCCACCAGGGTGTCCTCTGCCCAAGAGCCCCCTCTACCTCCAGGAACACCAGCCCCTGACTGTGGCCACAGCTGGTGAATGGCAGAAGGGCCTGCGGACCCTGGTCAGAGACCACATGGCGAGGGAACTCAACGATTTTCTTTACCAGCCCTGATCACCCAGTTTCACAAGCCCAGGGTCTCCACCCCTGATGAAGTCTCCTTGATTACTCCTGTGGCTGCTCGTGTGTGGGGGCTTGAGGATTCAGGGGCTGGGCTCCAAGCAGGTACCCAAACCAGCTTAGTTCTCCTCGACAGGCTAGTCTGAGTGGGGTGGCAACACAGGCCAGAACAAGAGGCCCAGCTTCCTTTTAGGAGATGTGGAACCAGCGACCCGTCTGGGCCCACTTTCTGGCAAGGAGAACGGGCTCCCTATTACACACAGGCCACTTCCTCTCGTTCCCAGCTCAGCCCCATGCTGCTGGGGGATGCAGCAACCTCACAATTAACATAACGGCAGTGTGGAGGGTTGTGTGGGTGGATGTCCGAACTGGACACGGACAAAGCCTGCTCTCTGATTTCTCAAAGTTGCAGACATCAAGCTTAATAGTGAACTCTGGCAAATTTCTGGGATGGATTATTAAATACAGGGTCCTAAGCAATCTGAAACGGAAGACGTGGATCCCCGGGGCCAGCACTGTTCTAAATTCACAGCGTTTTCTTTTATGACAGGGCTATTAGCCTGGCGTATGGAGGGAAAAACCTCACACGCAGTGCAGCCTGAGTCAGCAAGGGTGCTGATGGCTTCTTGCAAAGTCCTGTGGACGAGACGGAGCTGGGGGCTGGAGGAGAGCACCCTTAGGAAATATCAGAGCGAGCCAGAGAACAGCAGCACCCGGAGGGCACTGTGGGCTGATTTCAGTCGTGCACAGAGGTCTCCGGCAGGGCCCTGCACAGTTCACCCAGTGCTTGATTAGGAAGCTGGGGTATCCAATGGGAAGGCCCCCAAATGGTCTGCATGGCGGAATCAAGACCCACATGAGCTGAAAGTCCAGGAAAGGTGAAACTGATAAAGAATGACTGTGAAGGTCAGTACTCAGGTTTAAAAAGCCAAGTGCACAAACACAGGGGACAGAGGTTGAGCAGGAGTTCAGGTGAAGGAGGACGTGATGACTTTGGTCACCTAGGCGCTAATGGCAGCCTGGACGAAGGAAGTGAGTCCGTGGAGCACACAGCACCATGTTCCTCTCCCACCTTCTTTCAACAAACAGGACGTCCACTCTCTTGGAGGCATGGCAGAGGAAGCAGAGCCCTGGATTCATGAGCTCATCTCCTGGACACCCCACTCACCCACAGCCGTATCCCCTTCAAACCAGGTCCACGTGTTAAGAGGACCATGAATACCCTTCCGGGCTACAGGCTCTGCCTGAGTCACGGCTGCATCGCTAGCACCTGGGACAGCGCCTGACACAGACCACAGCACAGCGGCTGGGTAAGTGAGGAGGTAACGAACGTCCAGAGGAGGGTGAGAGCAAGGTGAGGAGTGAGAAGCTCATGTCATACAAGGTAAGCGAAGGACATTCGGTCTAAAGATGAGAGAACTTGGAGAATGTAACTCCCTTCCATCACCAGAAGACCTCAAGTGCTTTCAGGTGGGAAAGCGATCGTCACTGCAGAGAGTGGGGTGCATCAGAGTCCGTGGCTGGGGGGGGCAGTGTGTGTGACACGGATGCAGACCTCAGTGCTGCAGAGGAGAACGTCCTCGTAAACCACTGCCTGGCCTGGGAAGCCATCAGACTCCAGCCGGATGCCCACTGTCAGGGTGCTCCGGGGTGGATTCCTGTGAGGGACAGGACGAAAGACGAGATTCCCAGGGTTCTCCTCTCATCTAAGTAATGTCCTGCTTGTTGACAAAGGCCCCAGGCAGCCCAATCTCAGACCAAGGGTGAGAGAGGAGGATTCAGCTGGCGGGTCACCTCTCCTGACTGGAAGGCAGCGTTGGGAAGGCCTGCGGGGCCACGTGAGGCAGGGACCAAGAGCCAGGACTGATCAGCAACATCCACTGTGAACAGGACGGTGCCAAAAGGGTGGCTTGTTTGTTCATCTAGACCCCACGGCTCAGCTTCCAGGCTCATCCCTGCAGCTGCATCCCCACAGTGTCACCAGGACCCCAGCAGGGAGGGGCAGGCTCAGCGAGTCTGCTCAGAGCCTGGGGCAGAGAGGAATCAGGCAACACACTCCTGCTCCCAAGGAGGCAGACAACTGCCATGTCCCCAAGCCCGGGGGACAGCAGCAGTGTGGCCGTGGGCAGGTCACTTAACTGGTCCACGTCCCACCTTCTTCAGCTGAGAAGCAAGGCTGGTAACTTCCACATTGCAGAACTACCATAAAGGTCAAAGTCAGTGATGTGTGTCTCATGACCCAGACAAGCCGACAAGTCCCCAGAACACGGTCAACATCTGCCTGGACCACCCACAGACTGGGTGGGGTGAGGGGCCCCAGGCAGTGCTGAGTAGACCGGAGAAGAACATTCCAGACTCCAGACAAGGACACGACGCACTGCAAGGGAGCACCGTGGAGGGTAGAGGGCTCCTCTGCTGGGGCCTGGGGCGTGAGGCGGTCAAGGTCAACGAGGCCCCCGGGGGGCCAGGACAGCACCTGGGCTGCCTGTCCTGTTACCTCCGAAGCTGAAGCTGATCCCTCCGACCCTCTGTGGAGATCACCTATGAAGCCAGGCAGGCCCGGGGCCCCCTTGGGGCTGCTGCTGCTCCCAGCATCACACCAGTCAGCTGCGGGTGGGGGGCGGGGGAAGACTCCCAGCCCTAACTGCTGCTCCCCTCCCCTCCCTTTCCTGGTGCCCCCCCACCCCCATCAGCCCTCTGAGCAGCTCTTGCTTTCCCTTGAATCTTCTCCACTTGCTGGGGTAATTAAGAACGATCTGCTAATTATGCAGGCGGCTGATTGAGGCCTCCTAACCCTGGGAGGCACCAGGTGCCAATCAGCAGGGAGGAGGGGAGCATGGAGGACAGGGAGAGGAAGGAGGAAGTGAGGAGGAAGAGAGGGGAGGGGAGCTGGAGGGGTCTTCTCTGCAAGAGGAGTACATTCAAGGGGAGCGAGTCCAAGCTGGGGTCACATCCCTACTGCAAAAGCCCATAAGGACAGAAGAGCCTCAGGCCCGTAGGCGGCTGGTGGTAGGGGGGAGGGCTCAGCACCCCCACTCCCTGTCATCCCTGACCCCAGCGCTGTGGGGACAGTGGCCTCTGAGTGGGGGGTACTCAGGCCCCTGCACCCTCCAGTCAGGCCTCAGCAGGCAGTCATGTTCCTCTTACCATCTGCTCCCCCATTTCATCACAGCCAGTCTCCACTGGGGATGCTGTTTCCACAGGCCTGGTCCCCATATTTTGGGTTAAACCCTAGGGCTGGGGGTTAGGTATGTGACTGCCGTGTCATCCCCACCCTGCCCCAGCCTTGGCTCTGGGACCGCCATGAGGCTGGGGCTCCTGGGGAGGTGCTCCTTCCTGCTGGACCTGAGCTGTAGGCTCACTGGTCACCTTGCCAGAGCGAGGCCTGTCTGGGAGTGGGGCCAACCCAGAGGCAGCAAGCAGGGACGGATGAAAGCAAACCAGTTCCTCACATCACCCTGCGGCTCCACAGCCTGCTCTGCCGACTGGTTACTTTTGCTTCAGTTGGTTTGGGGAATCTAACTGATAAATGTGCTGCCAAGTCTTGCTTCTCTGTCCTCTGGATCCCCAGGCGCCCACACAGTGCACGCTATGTGGCTCTGACTCAGCTCAGACGGCGGCTCTCCCCTCCCAGATGATGCCGCCCCTGAGCACAGGGACCATGTGGCCGAGCATCATCAGCATCCCTCGGTCCCGAATGCTGGGTGTCTGCTGGAGAGGGGCAGGGGCACCTGGAAGCCGGCTGTTTAGGGGAGCATCCTGCCAGCCCTGGGCCTCAACGGGCCCACCACCCCTCCCTGTGAGATGGCCTTCCTGCCCTCTGCTCCCATCCAGGAGCAGAGGAACCTGGAAGTGTCTACAGGAAGGAAAAGGAAAGCATGCTCAGAATCCAATGCTCCCCTTACAGATAGGCAGGCCTGTGGTCACGGTCCTGGTGAGGAAACACAAATATCTGACGGACTGTTTCATCACGAGGCGTGGGGTGACCGGAATCTGGTACTAGTGGCTTTTAAAGGTCTGTGTTCTCTTGCTTAGGTGACCCCTGGATATATTTAGCACCTAACACTTTCTATAACTAGGGACAGCAGGTAATGGAGGGCTAGCATAGGTGGCAAATGAGCAGAGATGATGTCCCTAGATAACAAGAGGGAACATTTACTGGATGCTTACTATACACCAGGCACTTCGGTTCCTTTCTAAGTTTTAATTCATTTCATCTTAACAACGATCCTCTGAGGAAAGCACCATTATCACTGCCATTTTATGGATGGGAACACTGAGGCTTTATAGGGAGGTTAAGAGCAAGTCAATGGGGAAGCCAGATTGGAGCCGGAAGTCTGCTCCAGAGTCAACCCCCTTAACTACGTCACGGCCCCGCCCTCGGTTACATTCACATCCTGGAGAGGCCTGGGGCAGCCAGGTGCATTAGAGGGCAGCTCAGAGGCAGAAGAGTCAAGTGGATCTAATGTTGGGATTGTCCATCTGGAGACAATGGCCCCATTTTCTGCCCCCACTGGGGAAGGCTTCTGGGAAGAGGTGGGGTTCCAACTGGTGGAGGAAGAGACTGCACGTTGCAGCAGTGGGGGTTCTTGGTCTGGGATATGAGCAGGGGACGGTGGGGGAGACTTGGCCAGGAGAAGGACCTAAGTCAGGCAGTCAAATACTCCAAGCCGGGGAAGCATGGTGGGGGCATCCAGGGAGGAGAAGCGCCAGCCCATCTTAGCTTGCTCATGGCCAGAGAAATAGTACCTTACACAGGACAAAACCAGGGAACCTTCGCAGAAAACAGCAACCACCGCTCACACACGTTCAATCAACATTGAGTGAAAAATCATCAGAGCCGGAGAGCTGAGCTGGGTCAGCGCTGGGGTACAAACAGCCACCACTCCCCACCCGGAATCGCTGAGGATCCAAGGCCATCTTGCCAGCCTCACGAAGCCCCTTGCTCCAGCCACACTGGCTTCCACTCAGGCCCCTCTCCACTTTAGCTCATGCCCTTCCTCCTTTCTTGAAGGTTTTTCTCCCAACCTACCCACTCACGATACCTCCCCTTCCACCAGTCCGGCTTTTCTTCACATACGTCTTCCCTGACCCTGCAGACAAAGTCAGGCCTCTTATCACAGAGACAGGGTAATTCCAGAGCCTGGAGCCCCTACACCTGGGTGTGACGCCTAGTTTCACCGTTCAGGCAAGTCTCCTGACCCTTCTGCCAGAGTTTCCTCATTGACAAAGTGGAAATAACAGGACCTCAAACAAAAAGTTGTTGAGGGACTTCTCTGGTGGTCCAGGGGCTAAGACTTTGCGCTCCCAGTGCAGAGGGTTTGAGTTCGATCCCTGGTCAGAGAACTAGATCCCACATGCTGCAACTGACCCAGTGCAGACAAATAAATAAATACATATTAAAAAAAAAAAAAAACTGTTGAGAGTATTGAATGAGTGAACACACTCAGGTCAAGGGTGGCACACGGTTAATGTGATACAAATATTAGGTGTTACAAAATAGTAGAGATTGGTTTTCTCACAACTGTAACTAACACACAAGTAATCACTTAGAGTCTGTCTCCACTGCTGTAGTGGACCCTCCAGCTGGGCAAGGATGCTGTCCTATTAAAGGGCCCAGAGCCTTGCACACAAGAAATGTTGGATAACCAACCATGGGCTGACTGGGGGAACAGGCGAAGGAACAGGGCCCCCCAGCAAGGGAAGAGCAGTTGGGAGAGTCACACCACCGCCAGGGCCCGTGGATGCATGGGGAAACCCAGGGCTAAGCAAGACGGTTAAGAGTGAGCACTTAACAAGAAAAAGTTCTAAGCGGGGCACCCAGCTTGGCCCCCTGGGCACAGGGAAGCCAGCTGGGTCCCCTTGAGGACCGAGAGTCACCACAGAGGTGCTCCGAGACAGTGCCTTTGGGACTGGAGAGACGACTGCCTGGGCCAGGGAGCAGCACCCACCTGCTGAAGATGTCTCCGGAGACCTTCTGTAGGTACTGCAGGGCATCCGCCACCTGCTGGATGGCCTCCTCTCGCCGCAGGTCTGGCTGAATGAGGGGCACTGCGTAGGTCTGACCGGCCAACGAATGCTGGGTCCCCGTGGGGGTCATGGTGCCTAGGGGAGGGAAGGGAGCATCAGGATCCCCCCATACTTGCCCACACCCACCTGGCACAGGGCCAGGTGCTGGGAAAAGAGCATGCACGCAGCCCCCCATCCCAACGGTCTGCACGGCTTCAGCCTGGGTGGCAGTCGGGTGCTCCCAGGGTCTGCTGTTCTGGCAGTGCTGGTTGAGGGAACAAGGGAGACTGTAAGGACCAGAGACTGACACAAAGCCTTCAGAGGGCAATGACTGGCTGCCACAAGGTGGGTGCGTGGTGCCCGGCTAGGTGCCCCTGCCCTACCTCATCTCACCTCAACCTCCCAAGCCTGGATGAACAACAAAGAAACCGTGGCTGGGAGTGAAAAAGAGGGATGGGTTGCAGGGGAGTGGGGAATTGCCTGTGCCTACTGCCGGGTACTAGCAAGAGGTACCGGTTCTGCAAAAGCACAGAAAATATGAACTCTGGGTTCTTTCCCTTCTGGTCCCTGGGACCTGCTCCCAGGAAAGGACAGGCAATGGCAGGAGGCAGGGATGTCCGGGCTCTGCTCTCCCAGACTTGAGCTGGGTGTGGGGTGGGGGTAGGCAGGAGGAAGGAGGGACACATGGGGGGTGGACAGGAAGGAAAAACCCTCCTTCGAACTGCAAGAGGAGGGCAGAGTCAGTCTATTTATACTGGCTTTAATTAACTCCGCTCCCTGGTGCCACCAAAGCAGCAATCACACTGCAGACGGCACTGATGTGATTGGCAAGAGAGGCAGCGGGCAGAATATTAAGGCACCAAGCCCCTATAAATAGGCCTAATCATGGCCCCTCGGTAGAAGACCGTGAAGAAGACATTAATCAGGGCTGGCACTGTGCCCCAGACCTGCTCTCCTAGGTGGCAACAGAAGTGTGGGTGGGACTGGGTAGGTAAGGCCAGGGTAGGTTTAGGAGGTTTTGTTTGAGCTTCAAGTGCTATGTGACCTGGGGTAAGTTACTTGCCTTCTCTGAATCTGATTCTTTCCACTTCTCACCCTACAGACTGAGAATGGCATTGCCCTCTGAGAAGTGGTTATCCTCAGTGCTTCACACCAATATCCTCACCACGCTGAAGCTTACTCCTCGCCCTCTGCTGGCTTCCCCTACTCTTCCTTCCACCCAGCTTGTTCTCTCCTACCCTTCCCAGGCCAGCACTCTTCCTGGTCTGAGATGACCAGGCTGCTCTCCAAGCTTTTCTCCAGCGATGAACATCTCAGCTTCCTACACCTGAGCCCGCCTAGCACCCTCATAAGGATTAACTCATCCCCAGGATTAACTTACACCCTCATCGGAGTAACTCCTCACCTCCCCACCTCTCCTCCCACCATCAAGTGAGCAAAGTGGAGCCAACTGATCCCAAACCATCCCCAGCCCTGCTCCTCTTTGCATTTACACTGACGCAGTTCTGCTGGGCATCCTAGCTTAGTTCAGTACCTCAGTTTTCCCACCTGTAAAACAGAGAGGGAGGAAAAGGCAGAAAGAAGGTAGTTCCTGTGCTCATCTTGAGATGCACTGCTCAGGGTCAGTCACCCACCCAATGTGTGTCTGTCCACGCACCAGGGGGTGAAACAGGCACGAAGCCCCCAGGCAAGGAAACAGGAGGTCTGTCCAAGAACTGAGAGCCTGAGTACAGGTGTCCAGAGCTTTTACTCATTCTGTCTGCTAACAAGGGCTGATCAACTATCAGGTACCAGCCATGACCACAACGAAGAAGAATACGACGCTATGCAAGCTGTGAAGACAGCCTGGAAAACAATTAAACAGCAGGTGTTAATGCTCAAATCAAGCTGTGAACCCAGTGCTAGGGGACACTGAGGAAGGAGCAAGTGACAAACCCTTGCTGGGGTCAGGGAGTCTGGAAAAGCTCTTGGCAGAAGATGTGCCTCCCTACCAGGCCTGGGAGAGAGGGCAGGGAGAGCACCGCAGAGAGAAGGGACAGCTGAACAAAGGTGTGTAGGGAAGGGCAAGTGGTTTGGGCAGTGAAGATAAAACCATTCTTGGAGGAGGAGCAGAAAAAGACAGTGGCCAGACTGTGAAAAACACCGATGGCAAGGAGTATGACCTGAGCCTGAAGGCCAGGAATGAGATCCTCAGACCTGCCACCTGGTATGGGGGCCACAAGCTACGGGGCTCCTGAGCACCTGAAATAAATGGAGCTCATCTGAATGCAGGTGGAGTCTAAGTGTAAAATACACACAGAATTTCACACTTCCTACCAAAGCGAAGAAAATATCTCATTAAAAATTTAAATACTGACGACACCGTTGAAAAGACCGTACTTTAAATACAGTGGGCTAAGTGTATTACTAAGTTAATTTCGCTCTTCCCTTTTAAAGTCACACATGTAACTGGTAGCTAGCACAGTAATTTTTTCCTGGACGGCGGGGCGCTACCTCAGACTCGACGGCTTAAGAGAATCCTGGTAAATACTGTGGGTTCTCATAGGAGAGTGAACATACAGCAAACCGACTCTCACAAGTTCTGCTTATACAATAAATTTGCAAGTGTCGGAATACCGACACCCACACCAGGGGCGGCAGGAACCCAGGCAGGGCTATAATGGTGTGGGGTCAACCAGGGGCCAGGAGGGATGGCCACAAAGGGAGGGTTCCGAGAGCCAGGCCGGTGCTGGGCAGGCCCGCGGGGCGGGAGCCGGCCAGGGTCCCCGGGGCCCCGGGTCGGGGGTGGGGTGGCGGGCGAGGACGCCTACAGAGGCCCAGTCCGGACCCACGGCCAGTCGGTGTCAGAGGCGGAAGTCACCCGGCCCAGGCCTCCCGGCCGGCGTCCCCCGAAGCCGCTCCCACCTTCACCCGTCCCCTCGGAGACCCGCCCCCACCTCCCGCTCTCCAGTCCCGTCTTCCCAGCCAGGCCCGCGCCCTCACCTGCTTTACGCCCGCCGCTTCCGCGACGCGCCGGGGCCCGTCGCAGCCCGCTCCGCCTCCCTGGTGATCCCGGCCCGGAGCTCCGGCCCCGCCTGGGCTTGGCCTCTGCGGGCCGAGCTCCCCAGAGTCCGCCCAGTGCCCGCCCTCCCTTAGATAGTAAATGCCAGACACAGAAGGACAAACGCGCTGTGCGAGGTGCCCCGTAGCCGCCAGATCCAAACAGAACCAGAGCGGTGGTTGCGGTGGAAGCGTTATGGTTTAATGGGTTCAGAGCTCCTGACAACCTCTCCTGGACCACACTTTAGTCAGGCTTCTCTGAATCCTCTTCCCAACTAGGCCTCCACTTGCGTAGCCCAGTTTTAGCAAGAATCCTGTCACTCGATTTAGCCGGAAACCTCCGCCCTCTTATCTGGCCAAATTCCTTCCTCCCTTACCTGCCGCCTGCCCCCCATCCCTGTCCCCAGGTGATGTCCCATCCCTCACCTGCCCGCCTGCGGCAAGAACCCTAGCCTAGAATTACTCGTAGCTCTTAAGTAATTTTCTGTCCATCCCATCCCCTACCCTACTTTGTTTGTCCAGAAGTTTGTCCAGAAGTCCCCACTTGTCTGCTGTATTTGGAATTGACCCCGGGCCTCTAATGACCTCTCCTTTCCCCTGTTGCCAAGTCCCGAATAAAATCTGCTTTTACCACTTTAATGACTGTGTGGCTCTGGTTTCCTTTCACATGTCGGTTTGGGACGATGACAGAGTTCTGGATATTTGATGGTTGCATGACGAGGTGAATGTATGTAATGCCACTGCACTGTACATTGAGAAATGGTTAAAATGGTAGATTTTATGATATGTCTTTGTTTTGACAAGAAAAAAGGCCTTTTTAAAGACTTAAAAAGTTAACTACATAAAAGCAGCATCAGTGCAAAGATCCTGTAATAGTCCCTCCTGGGGTCCGTTGACTTGCCTCAGAATTCTCGTCCCCTCTCTTTTAGAGTTGCCAGATGAAAACAGAAGATGCCAAGGTCATTTGAATTTCAGACGAAAAACAAAAGTTTTTTATTTTTATTTTTAGTACAAGTATGTCCCAAACTAAGCATGGGGCATGCTTACATTAAAAAAAAAATAATTTTTGTTTATTCGAAATTCAGGATTAAGTGTTTCATATATTTTTTTGCTGGACCTGGCACAATTTTCTCTCTACTCTCTTCCAATTACTCTCAGAATTTTGTCCTCCTTCCCTACCCATCTCTGCATCCTTCCCTGGGAGAAAGTTAGGATGAGATGTCTTTTTGCTGCTGCTGCTGCTGCTAAGTCGCTTCAGTCGTGTCCGATTCTGTGCGACCCCATAGACGGCAGCCCACCAGGCTCCGCTGTCCCTAGGATTCTCCAGGCAAGAACACTGGAGTGGGTTGCCATTTCCTTCTCCAACGCATGAAAGTGAAAAGTGAAAGTGAGGTCGCTCAGTCGGGTCCAACCCCAATGATTTGCAGGCTGCAGCATACTGTTCCCACCAATGATGGGAAAGAGATGGGTTTGCACCTGTATTATAGACCAAATGTGCAGCCGCTCCAATACATTAACACCCTAACCCCCAAGGTGACAGCATTTGGGCCGGGCCTTTGGGAGGTAATTTGGGGCAGATGAGGTCAGGAGAGCGGGGCTCTCATGAGGGGAGACAGCCCTGACAAGAAGAGATACTCTGTCTCTCTGCAACACTAAGGACACAGACAAAAGGGAAAAGGGCTCTCTCCAAGAACCAAACCGGCCTTGATCAAACCGGTACCTTGATCTCGGTCTTTGGAACCTCCGGAACTGTGAAAAATAAATTTAAGCTGTTTAAGCCACTCTATGGTATCTTGTTTTTTATTAGACAATCTGCAAGCTCATTTCCCCCTCACTTCACCTGAGCAATGACTGATCAGATTAAGGTGGCCATCAAAGAGGGACCCATGGGGCCTCAGCTGCCACATTTATAAACTGGGGTTACGGGTTGAGCACAGGAGAGAAAGGATGTCTAAGTGCTCTGTGATCTGTGAAGTGTGTTCAGACATGAAGGGCTCGGGACGTCTGTCTGTACATAGACATGTGCCCACATATTTCACACATCAAACCCGGCTAACTTCTCACAAAAGTGCTGCAAGGCAGCATACCCAGCGCCAAGCAGCCAGTTCACCCTCCAGACCGCTTACCCTCACTTCGTCCAAGTTCTCCACCTCATCTACTGCCGACTGGCTATCCCATACTTCATTTTAACGTTTTCCTAGGAGCTGGATTGCAAAGACATTTAACCTCAGCCACTTGAGCTGTAATGATAATGCTGAGGATAAAGAAAAACTGAGTGTCGTCTTAATACCTGCCACTGGTGACCCATCATGTAATTATATTCACACATAATATCCAAAAAAGTCGATGCAGGTTGGTTGTTTCCAAGAATGAGGGGGAGGGGTAATGTGAAATGGCTGCTATAGGGTACGAGTGTGCTCAGCCGTGTCTGACTCTGCGACCCCATGTACTATAACCCGCCAGGCTCCTCTGTCCGTGGGATTCTCCAGGCAAGAATACTGGTGTGGGTTGCCATGCCCTCCCCCAGGTGAGCTTCCCCACCCAGGGATCGAACCCGAGTCTCAGCTGTTACCACTGAGCCACCTGGGATGCCCTGCCTAACGGGTGATTTTCTGATTGGGGGTGATGAAAGGTTACAGAGCTACACAGAAGGAGGGGTTTCACAGCATTGTGTGTGCACTAAATGCCACTGAACTGTTCACTTTATTTTAATTTGTTTTACATTTATTGAGTCTTTATTACAAGCACATCTACAAGGCATTTTGTTTGATGGTTTGGGGACTGGAAAAGAATTTAATGGCCTGACTGGGAAATGAGAGACACAGATGAAAAACAACACAAGGCCATATTTTACAAATTTAGGTGATAAAGAGTAAAGCAAGGCTGTATCATTGACTGCATGATGGTTAAAATTTTTTTTTGCTTTCTTTTTTAATATAAATTTTATTGGGATATAGTTGATTTACAGTGCTGTGTTAGGAGCTGTTCACTTTAAAACGGTCAGTTTGTATGGCTATCACCTCACTCTAAAAAATAAAACTGACAGACAAGGCTGGGGCATGAGAAATGCTGTCCAAGCACTAAGGGAAGAAAGGAAGCAAAAAGGTAAAATACAGACATGAGCCCAATCTACTTCTTTTTAACAAAAATTCCCTAAGAATCTCCAACCAGCAATTTTCTCTTACATCTTATTGACCAGGTCTAGATCACATGACCTTGGCAAGCTGCAAAGGAGACTTGGGATATGAGTCTTTGTAACTGGGGATATTACTTACCTGAACAAAATAGGATTCTATCCCTGGTGGCTCAGTGATACAGAACTCGCCTGCCAATGCAGGGCATGTGGGTTCAATCCCTGAGTTGGGAAGATCTCCTGGGGAAAGAAATGGCTATCCACTCCAGTATTCTTGCTTGGGAAATCCCATGGACAGAGGAGCCTGGCAGGCTATCGTCCATGGGGTTGCAAAGAGTCAGACACAACTTATCGACCAGACAACAGTTAGGAAGGAGTGGATAGAAAGAGGGTATTCAACTGTGCAGTGTCTGCTAGAGACACCTAACCTTTGCTCATGTTTGCTCAGAGAGGGTTTCTGGAGGATGTGATGCCAGACATGAAGCTTAAAGGATGGGCAGGAGTGGCCCCAGGGAAGAAGGGTGGGGTTATAGGCGTTCCAGGACCAGGAAACAGCAGGAGTCTATTCATCAAGGTGAGGCTGGCTGCTGCAGCAACTGGAAACAATCCCATCACTTCTCACCAACGGGACATCCAAATCCATGAAGGGCTTTCCTTCAGGCTTTAATTCAGGTGCCTGAGTTCTTTCCATCTATGGGTCTGCCGCCCTCAACAAGGTGCTTCTGGGGTTGGGAAGGGAAAGAACATGAACAGCACATGCAGGGTTTGATGGAGCAGGTCTGGCAGCAGCACAGATCACTCCTGTTTATCTTCCACTGGCAGGACTCTGCTCAAGTGGCCACATCTAAGTGCAAGGGAGGCTGGCAAACAGAGTCTATCTATAGCTGAGCCAGTTACTGCTACAGTGATCAGGAGGTGAGAAAGTGTGCAGAGGGGGATGTGACACTAGACTGTGAGCAGTTTGGTGTTGGTGAAGTTCCGGTGAAGTGGCTGGAGATAAGATTAGAAAAGAAATAGGAACCAGACCACAATACAGGGTACGTTTTCTGAGCTTCTGCTCTGTGCTGGTCAATGCACTTGGTACTTCACATCTATAACCTCAGTTATGATAAGGGGCCTGACCTGAGGAGAAGAGGTGGGTGATCTGTGTTTATTTGTTTTGTATGACAGTCAAGTCCGACTCTTTGCGACCCCATGGACTGCAGCACACCAGGCTTCCTTCACCATCTCCCTTGCTCAAACTCATGTCCATTGAGTCAGTGATGCCATACAACCATCTCATCCTCTGTCGTCCCCTACTGCTCCTGCCTTCAATCTTTCCCAGCATCAGAACTGAATGAGTCAGTTCTTCACATCAGGTGGCCAAAGCATTGGAGCTTCAGCTTCAGCATCAGTCTTTCCAATGAATATTCAGTTGATTTCCTTTAGGATTGACTGGTTTGATCTCCTTGCTGTCCAGGGGACTGTCCAGAGTCTTCACCAGCACCACAGTTCAACGGCATCAGTTCTTCAGCGCTCAACCATTTTTGTTGTTCTGCTCTCACATCCAAGCATGACTATTGGAAAAACCATAGCTTTGACGAGACAGACCTTTGTAGGCAAAGTAACGTTTCTGTTTTTTAATATGCTGTCTAGGTTTGTCATAGCTTTTCTTTCAAGGAGCAAAGTCTCCTAATTTCATGGCTGCAGTCACCATCTACAGTGATTTTGGAGCCCAAGAAAATAGTCTGTCACTCTTTCCATTGTTTCTCCATCTATTTGGCATGAAGTTATGGGACCGTATGACAGTCCTACTTCCTAAAAAGCGTGTAGTGTTTCCCTGGGTGCAAAGCACATGTTGGTGCACAATAGTTAATACTTATAAAAATTTGGTAAGGAAAATATTCCCATCATTCCTA